AGGAGTAACATTAACACATCAGTTTATCGTCAGATAGGTTGGGATGGCCCCTTCAGAAGGGAAAAGAAAATTTTAAATCATTGTTTTCAGAAAGGGCAATTAGAACACCCGTATTTTGTCTCTGAAAATCTGGCACAAGGAATTTGATGTTACCTAACATTCTGGACGGCTCTTCAGAAGGTACCATTTTACCTATGTAAGGCATCCATGCAAACTGCCCAGGTCACAATTGAAAAGAAATCAGTGTAGTTCAGAAAGAAAGCACAATATGAGGAAGAATGAGAATTAAACTGAAATTTGGAACCCATCATGTGACGTCTGCTGGCAGATGTGGCTCATGCTGTTCGATGTGATTCTGACACTCTCCGTGGTAGGGCTGGTTAGAACTTAACGTATTTTATGGGTCATGAGTCGTTTTGGCTCTGTCTGCAAAGCTGCCCTCAGGAATTGTGTTTTTATGCCTTAACTGTTCTTTCCAAAGCTTACTTTTCACTAAGAGTGGGCAACCAGAGAGGTCTTTGTCCAAATACATTACATAATCCCTCCAGGAAATGCCGTGACAGTGTATAGTTGATGAAATGGAAACCCTGGTATGGTGACCTTTCTCCCAGATATCCTAGGATATACTTTATGCTTCACTAGGCAAACATCCCTTCTTCCAAACTGGATTCAGTTCTAAAGGTTTCTTTCCTTGCTGGGGGCCAGGAGACACAATAGGGTGCAAAAGTGTGGAGATTTTTTTTCTTTTAATAAAATTATCTAATATTTCTACAAGCTGGAAGTGCACACACATTGCATGGTTAAATAGAGTTGTGCCAAAAAATAATAACCTAGTCCTTGCCCCGAGGAGGTAACGGTATGAATGATGCAATTCAAGGAGAAAGGAAAAGACAGCTTATATTGTCAGTATCTTCCCGTCATGTTGCTATATTTTGATTGTTGTTTTTTGTTGGTATACTAGTTAAGAAGGATAGGTAGGGCTATTTTCTGAAAATTACTTTTATTTTTTTCTCCCTGGATGTTCACTGTGTTATACTTGTGAACCTACCTTTTGTGTGTGTGTGTGAGAGAGAGGCATATAAAATGCATGATCTGATTCATGCAACATTTATTTAAGCATGTTAACTTTGTGTGTATTTACTTATGAAGCCTCAGGGCTGATCAGCAACACGGGGGGCGGGGGTGGAGGGGGGAACCGTCTTCCTTCTGGGGACTGTTCCTTTAAGAGTAATTATGCTGCTAGTAACGATGACAATGCCTGTAACATGAGTGCTTACTTTGAAATGACAAAGGAATCTGTGTGTCCTTGAAAATTTTAATTCCTGTAAGAGTCGTCCAAAATAGATAAAACTAAGAGCCTGGTTGTAGTTGTTTATTTGTGGTTAATTAGTGAACTATATTCTCTCCTAAGCAGAAAAAAAGACAAGCTGTCTCTAGGATACTAAAAGGTCAGAAAGTTCTAAGCCAATTTTCCTCTTACTTGGGCAATGCACCTGCTCTTTTAGAGGATAAAAATGATTTCAGCTCTACAATATTGACAAATCATTCTGTTACAAGATGACTCAAATTTATATAGATGATTCATGTGCAGTGAAAAATAAGGGGTATTTTAACAACTAATTGAGTGCAGGATTGCACATATGCTCATTAGATAAAAACTGCTGACTATGCGCTTGAAATCTTTTGTATGTTTTTATTACTTTTTGTTGGCTTGATCTACCAACTATGCAGAGAGGTATATGTGTAAGTTTCTTGGGGCTCCTGTAAAAAATTCCCACAAATTTGCTGGTTTAAAACAGCGGAAATGTATTCTCTAACTGCAGGGCAAGAGTCTGGAATCAAGGTGATGGCAGGGCTACGCTCCCTCTCAACAAAATTCTCTAGGGGAGATTTTTTTCTTCCCTCTTCCAATTTCTGGTGGCTCCAGGCATTCCTTGGCTGATAACTCCAGTCACTTCCTTCATCTTCATACGGCTTCTCCTCTGTGTCTGTGTCTTGTCTTCACCCCGGGTTCAAGTGATTCTCCTGCCTCAGCCTCCTGACTAGCTGGGACTACAGGCACGCACCACCATGCCTGGCTAATTTTTGTATTTTTAGTATTTTTAGTTTCACCGTGTTAGCCAGTCTGGTCTTGAACTCCTGACCTCAGGTGATCTGCCTGCCTCGACCTCCCAAAGTGCTGGGATTACAGGCATGAGCCACCACCCGCGCCTGGCCCTATTATGGTTGGTAATTTAAATCAAGAGCTAAACAAGGTCAATGTATTTAATTTGTTATACTTCTTCAAACTATTTTAATATAGAGCAGTTCCCCTTTTTTTTCTTTCATGCTATTGACTTGTTTCAGAGACAAGTTAGTTTCTTGTAGGCCGCTCCATATCTTGCATTTCTGAAGTCTGTGTTTTCCTTTGTGACATTATGTGTCCTGTTCTATAGCGCCTATGTTTCATTTAAATGGAAATAATCCAGCCTGAGAGCTTTTGTCTCTTAACAGAGGAGTTTGATCCATTTAGATTGGTTGAGATTACTGATATTTAAAATTAATTCCTACCATCTCATTTTTGCTTTCTAACTGCCTGCTTGTTCTTTGGTGCTTGTTACCATCTTTTCTACTTAAAAAAAAAAATTCCCTTTATCTTCTTTTAAACATTTGATTTCTATTCTTTTAGTGCCTGTTTTTCCTTTTTTTTTTTTTTTTTTAATGACAGAGCTTCACTCTTGTTCCCCAGGCTGGAGTGCAATGGAACCATCTCGGCTCACCGCAATCTCCACCTCCCGATTCAAGCGATTCTCCTGCCTCAGCCTCCTAAGTAGCTGGGATTACAAGCATGCACCACCACACCCAGCTAATTTTGTATTTTTAGTAGAGATGGGGTTTCTCCATGTCGGTCAGGCTGGTCTTGAACTCCTGACCTCAGGCAATCCGCCTGCCTCAGCCTCTCAAAGTGCTGGACATGCGTGAGCCACCACACTTGGCCCAATTTTTTAAATGATCATTTGACCAGATCAAATCTACAGTTGTCAGTATATTTACTATTTTCTTAAAAAATGCCAAGCTCTTAGAATGCTTTAAAATCACTCCTTCTTATTGTTTCCCTGTATTTTTAAAAATAGTGCTGTTTAAATTTCTATACATGTTTATCAATTACTTTGCTCATCATTTCTTTTACTTTGAAATTTTATTATTATCACTATTTTTTGAGGCAGGGAATTGCTCTGTCACCCAGGCTGGAGTGTAGTGGCACAATCATAGCTCACTGCAGCCTCAAACTCCTGGGCTGAAGCAATCCTCCTGTCTCAGCCTCCCGAGTAGCAGGGGTCACAGACTTGCACCACCAGTCTGGCTAATTGTTTTTTGCTTTTTGTAAAGACAGGGCCTTGCTGTGTTGCCCAGGGTGGTGTCAAACTCCCGGCCTCAAGTGATCCCCACAACTTGGCTTCCCAAACTGCTGGGATTACAGGTCTGAGCCACTGCACCCAACCTCATCATTTCTTTCAAACTTAATTATGTGGGGACAAGGGAGGTTGGAGTCCTTAAAACAGAAATTTTTTTCATTGAGGGTTTGTGAATAAATCCTTTTAATATTATATACTATATAATAGACAAATATTATCTATATTAAATTATATATGTTAAATTATATATTAATTATCTATATGTATATATTTCAATACCCTCACTACTGAATGGTAGTTTAGGTGGTTAAAGAATTCTTGCTTTTTTATGCGCTTTGAAGAAATTATTCCATTATCTTCTGGTCTCTACTTTTGTTACTGAGAAGTCAATTGCTAGTCTGAATGTTTTTCTTTTTAGGCTCACCTATTGTTTTACTTTAGTTTTGTGATTTTCTCTTTCTGTTTCGCAATGGTATATTATATCAAAGAGCATTTTTACTTTAGTTAGTCTGGTTAAGACTCATATTTTTTCATTTGAGAAGTCATCCCTTCAATCACTTTTGAGAAATACTCAGCCATTATCATTGCAAATCTTGCCTCTCCTTGACACTCTCTTCTTTTCTTCTAAATTCCTAATAGATTGTTAAACATTTTTATTCTCTTCTAAATGTCTTAATTTTTCATAATTATCCTTTAAAATATCTATAATTTTAGGATCTATTCTGGTTAACTTTTTCATAGCTACTCATTAATGATTCTTTTCAATTGCATCTAATTGGTTCTTTAACTCATCGAGTTTTAAATTTTGGTATATTTTTCCCTAGTATGTCTATTTAATTATTTTTCAAATCTATTTTTTGTCATTTATATTCTTCTGTTTATTTTATGCTTTTTAATGTCTTTAATCAGCTTAAATATACTTTTCATATTTTTCATATTAGCTCTGAGATTATGATTTTATTAGTTCTAGTTCTAGGCCACTCAATCCTTCTGTTGTGTCTGCTGACTCTCTCTTGTAATTTCTTCTTGTGGGCTCATTTTACACAGGACTTGCACATTTTAAAGTGAAAATTCTGTGTGACAAAGATGCAGTGACATCCTTCGAAAAGGGATTTGCATGTCTTCTGCAAGGTGCCCCAAAGTTGTGAGCAAATATGTGATGTTTTATTGACTTGGGATTTCCCAGTCCTTGTGAAGAAAAGCATTCAGACTTCAAACCCATCAGAGGTCCAGGCCAAGTCTTTTGCTTTCTCTTAACATGTTTTCCCCTACACACAGCCAAAGCAGAGATACTCTTTGTTGGGTTCCAGACAGCCCGCAGAGTTTTTCTAGTTTTACTTGGCCAGAATTGCAGCCCTTCAAGACGTGATTTTTTTTTTTTTTTTTTTTTTTTGAGACAGAGTCTTGCTCTGTCACCCAGGCTGGGAGTACAGTGGCTCAATCTCGGCTCACTGCAACCTCTGCCTCCCGGGTTCAAGCAGTTCTGTCTGCCTCAGCCTCCCAAGTAGCTGAGATTACAGGTGCCTGCCACTGTGCTTGGCTAATTTTTGTATTTTAGTGGAGAAAGGGTTTTGCCATTTTGGCCAGGCTGGTCTTTAACTCTTGTCCTCAGGTGATCTGGCCACCTTGGCCTCCCAAAGTGCGTGAGCCACTGGGCCTGGCCCAAGATGTGACTTTATGTATGAGTTACACTTCCAGCTTTCTACATTGTATAACTCTCTATTCATTATAAAACTTAAGACTTTAGGCTTCACTGCCTTCAATTAGTCCCCTTCCCCTATCCCGCCCCATGCTTATTCATCAGCATGAGTGATTGCCAGAATCAAGATTCAGTTTCATTTTTATTTCTAGTATCAACAGGCCTGTCTCTCCCTCTTTTTCTTCTTTCAGAGCTCAACTATTCCATTTTTATGCAGCATTTCTCGGCGTCTGCAGGTAAAGGATTTCTGTTGTGTGTGCGTGCGTGTGTGTGTGTGCGCGTGTGTATGTGCGTGTGTGTGTGCGCGCGTGTGTGTGCGTGCGTGTGCGTGTGCGTGTGTGCGCGTGCGCGTGTGTGCGTGGGTGTGTGCGTCTGTGTGTGCGTGTGTGTGTGTGCGTGTGTGTGTGTGCGTGTGTGTGTGTGTGGTTTTTCTTTTTTAAGAGATGGGGTCTTGTCTTGTTGCCCAGGCTCAAGAGATTCTCCTGCCTCAGCCTATTGAGTATCTTGGACCACAGGAACATGCCACTGTGCCCAGCCGGATATGAGTTTAAATCTACCATTTTCTAGGCTTATTGAAATATCAAGATATTTAAAAAATAAAATAAAAATAAAAAAACATGTGAATGAATCTTTGTGTGTGTGTGTATATGCATGTCCCTCTCCTTTCTTTAACTATTGGGCAATTCAGCACAGGGCATGCTGTGTGGTGTTAAAATTCTCTCATCATGTCGTTTCTAGATATGATTTTAATGTGATTTCTTGCAAACTTGATCATCAGCATAAATGCAATGGGAGATGTTAACGTTATATGAAAGTACTCTGGTTCTATGCAGTTATCCAGGTGATACTAGGTATGCTCATGTTAATCTTAAAGAGTATCAGAATGGAAGCATGAAATGAAAAATAATTCTTGGAGAGGCCAGGCGCGGTGGCTCAAGCCTGTAATCCCAGCACTTTGGGAGGCTGAGACGGGCGGATCACGAGGTCAGGAGATCGAGATCATCCTGGCTGACACGGTGAAATCCCGTCTCTACTAAAAAAATATAAAAAACTAGCCGGGCGAGGTGGCGGGCACCTGTAGTCCCAGCTACTCGGGAGGCCGAGGCAGGAGAATGGCGGGAACCCGGGAGGCGGAGCTTGCAGTGAGCTGAGATCCGGCCACTGCACTCCAGCCTGGGCGACAGAGCGAGACTCCGTCTCAAAAAAAAAAAAAAAAAAAAAAAAAAATTCTTGGAGAGATCTTTGGATTCTGGAATATTTGTTTCATTGACAGACACTAGTTTTAGAAAAACTGTCCCTTGGCTTAATGCCCAGATTTTTAACTGGCCAGTTTTAGGAAATAATCTCTTCTCCAGGTTCAACTTGGATACCAGTTCTTCTGGGAAGCCGTCTGTATTTTAAAGGTTTAAAAACATTATACATATTGTATTTGTCAGGGTTCTCCAGAGAAACAGAACATATTTATATAGACATATATGTACACGTATATAAATATATATATAAATATGTGTACATATATACATAATATATACACATACGTATATATACATATATACGTATGTATATATACATATGTAGTATGTATATATGTATTATGTATATATGTACACATATTTATATATACATATATGTATATATATGTACACAGAGAGACAGAGAGAGAGAGAGAAACAGGAAGAGAGATACAGAGAGAGATTTATTTTAAAGAAATTGCTCAGAATTATGGAGGATTGGTGGGTCCAAAATCTGCTAAATCAGGTGGAGTAGGCTGGCAAGCTGGAGATTCAGGGATTTGCAGTTTCAGTCCAAACGCAGTCTGCTGGCAGAACTTCTTCTTGCTCAGGTGAGGGCAAGTTTTGTTCTATTCAGGACTTCAACTGATTGGGTGAGGTCCACCCACACTGTGGGGAACAGTCTGCTTTGCTCGAAGTCCACCAGCTTATTTATTTATTTTTTGAGACAGAGTCTCGCCCTGTCACTGCACCCGGGCTGGAGTGCAGTGGCGCGATCTCAGCTCACTGCAACCTCCGACTCCCTGGTTCAAGCGATTCTCCTTCCTCGGCTGGGATTATAGGCATGCGCCACCACACCCGTCTAATTTTTGTATTTTTAGTAGAGATGGGGTTTCTCCATGTTGGTCAGGCTGGTCTTGAAATCCTGAGCTCAAGCGATCTGCCAGCTTTGGCCTTCCTAAGTGCTGGTATTACAGGCGTGAGCCACCACATCTGGCCGAAAGTCCACCAGTTTAAATGTTAACCTCAACCAAAAAGCGTTTTCACACAAACACCCGGAATTCTATTTGACCAAATATTTTGGCATGCTGGCAGAACCAAGTTGATACATAAAAGTAGCCATCACACCGACACTGTAGCTTTTGTCTGTTAGTTGGTTAATGATGTGTTTTCATATCTGCCTTTTTTCCTAGGCTGTGACTACCTCCAGGGTAGACACTATCTGAAGTGCCTAGTGTGGTTCCAGGAATTTAGTCACTGCTGGATACATGTTTACTTGATGAAATAATAGTAAAAAGGGAAGCAGGGTAGGAAACAAATGCCTTTTTGTCCTCTGACCCTGGGAAGGCATAGGTTTTCTGAATTCTTAAAAAAAATTATTTGCAATATTTGTAATTACACAGCCTATACCTGTTTCAAATCAGATACTTATGATACAAAGAAGCTTTACTGAGGGGCCTGCATGTGCCAGGTACTATGCCAAGTGGCATCCATGTTTCTCATTGGCCACAGAAGGTACCCTCACAGATGAACAAATGCTTACCTCCTTTTCATGTAGAAAGGATGGAGCATGATTCTTTGTGGTCCTGTTTAGTTCTGAAGCCACCTAACCACACTTCAGGGATGAATTTGGGTGTTTTCTGTTGAGGGGTGGAAAGCAGGACTCAAATTTTTTCATCTCAAGTGCGGGTAACTTTTAGCTACATGTGTGGCAGATCCAATTGCTCCAAATAAACCCCATGCAGTTCTTCAAGTTTCTGAGTCTGTACTTCCCTTTCTTCTTTGCAGTGGTCCCTTTGGGGGATACTAGCATGTTTAACTGTTGTTATAAGCTGAATTTCTGTCCTCTCAAATTCATATATTGAAGTCCTACCCCCTCGTAACTCAGAGTGGGACTGTATTCGGAAATAGAGTCTTTAAAGAGGTAATTAAATTAAAACGAGGTCATTATGGTGGGACCTAATTCAATATGACTGGTATCCTCATAAGAAGAGTAGGTTAAGACGTAGATATACACAGAGCAAACGCCATGTGAGGCCGCAGTGAGAAGGCGGCCATCTGTAAGCCCAGGAGAGAGGCCTCAGAAGAAACCAGCGCTGCTGCCACCTTGATCTCAGACTTCTATCCTCCAAAAATGTCAGAAAATAAATTTCTGTTGTTGAAGCCACCCCAGTCTGTGGAATTTTGTTATGCAAACCAATATAAGTGTGGATTTTGTCATATACATTTCTTACTTTCACAATCAGATTCTTCATTGTTTTCATTCCTTTTGCAGCCAAACTTGATCCCACCTGAGTTCCCTGTCAATGCTCTCATAAAATTGCTATTTGGGGCAGGACATAAAAAGTTGAAAGAAGTCTTAAAGTCAAATAAATCTTGGCTTCCAACCCTTCCTTACCACTGCAAATGGCTACAGGGTTTAGGATACATTTAAGAAGGACCCGGCACTAGTCTGCATTCAATTAGCAAAACCACATGAGACACAGGGAATGTCCTGCTCTGTTTTGCTGGATGACTCTGGCATAGTTAAGGGTGCCCATGAAAACCAATCTGATGGTTCAGATCTGGGCAAGCACCACTTAGCTGTTCTCTCTAACTGTAGATCGCACTCCAGTCTTCGTAGCTGTTTCTAGAAAAAATTAGTATGGCAGGTCGATGTATTTCATTGCCAGTGCTGGAAATCTGAAAGAAAATGACTCACTGGGGCAGTATCTTTGACCTTCTACCAAGTGTAATACTTTTGATTATTGTTAGTTAATTTAATGTGAACCATAAACAGGTTCTCTTTCTTCTTTCTCAGTGGACTCTATCGTGTACTTTAGAAACATGCCAAAAATGTATAATCATATGTTTTAAGAATATATATTTTGCTTTCTTTCAATACTTAAGTACAGAAAACATAAGAAAATAGCTTCCTTTTTCATCAAACCTTAAGCTATATTTCACATTTTAGATTATTAAGTTTACATAGTGTTATGTGTTCACTCCTGAAATTCTTATGCATAGACAAAAGTCTACTTTTTGCCTTTCCCCCCCAACTTCCTGGATCCTCTTAAACTTCAATGAAAAAATATCTCTTCCTATCCTTGATCAAACAGTTTAATCTTCCCCTGCCTACGATTTTCAATTATACCGGCTTTGAAAGGTCTGAGGACATTGCATTAAAGACACTGCAAATAGTCTAGCATTATTGTAAGCTGGGCAGCCTCAAATCCCACATGAAGTCTAGATCTCAATTTATCATAACCCCTGGGCATGTCTGCATTTTCTATAAACAAATTGGAATTATTTCTCCTTTTGATCTGGATATACTAAAAAATAAATCTCTGATTTTGGGATAAAAGCTTTTTCATTTTTTTTAAAGTTAGGGGAGCCTGTTCCTGATAAAAAGGAGGGGTGGGGAGCCCACCAGCCCTGTGCAAGTTTCTCATCTCTCTCTCCTTAGCTGACAGAAGGACTATAGAGATTTAACCCCAGGCCTCTTTTCAGTTTAATTCCCATGGACATCTCCCATTACGGCAAAGGCAGCTGATAGGAAATCAGAGATGAAGCAATATTAAGTGTTACCCAGGGGACCTCTCATTTGAAGTTGAGAACGAATCACCTTTAGCCTCTCTTTCCTCCGTCTCTGACACCTGCCAAGTATTGCCTGGGCTGTCAGTAGCGGTGTCTGCCGCCTGTGCAGGGTGGGAGCTTTGTAAGCGTTTCTGTTCCTTCTCCTTCGTTCCAGAGTTTGTTTATGTTTCGTTACCTTTTTCTTCCAAGGTGAACATAAGCTGTTAGGCAGTGCTCATGAAGCAATGGTTTGGCTTGTATACCGAAATTTTCTCACATTCTTGCAGCTGATTTTCTTCATGCAAAGCACAAAAAATTGCTGTTCAACACACTTTCTTCTTTTCTCCTTGTACAGTAAAGGAAGGATTCTTGGATATTTATCCAAAATTTTGTCACACTGAAGAGAGAAGACTGCATTGAGGTGATGCCCCAAAGGGAGCAGCTTTGATGCAAAAAAAGCAAAACGCTTTTGTTTCTTGGACTGATAAGAAGGTACTTCCTTTAGATCAGAGTTGGGATGCATGCATACTACAAAAACTGGAATGAAAAAGGCAAACCATTTTTACTCCACAGAATTATCTGTACAGGTCAAGGAAATGCCAAACTTAACAGATGTCTTAGACTGTGCCCTGCAGGTCAATAAATTAGAGTTTTGTTGAACCAGGAAGAGGAAGGAATTCTAGGACTTCAGGTCCCCAAATGGAAATGCCCCTTAGGACAAGTCTAAACTAGGGAAATAGCACTGGAGCTCTTCCAAGTCAGTTGGCCCAGTCTCGTGTAACTCATTTCTGGGCCCCCTGAAGCTGTTTGTTCAACTCTGCCTTCTACAACGCTACAGTGT